GGGAGGGAGGGAGGGAGGGAGGGCGGGTGGGCCCTCCCGAGCACCGTACTGGAACGGTACCAGGTGGTCCGGGCAAGCTCCGGTATGCCTGTACTGGGGCGTACCGTCTATAACCCACCACTGGTCCAGGGGCTCTTTGCAGGCTCTTTGCTCATCCATAGGTAAAGGAGTTTTAGGAGGAAGTTTTGGGAAATCTATAGAAATGATGGAAAACGAAAGAATGTGATTTTCTGAATTATGGAAGATATTTTCTGGTCCTGTGAGAAAGAGACGCCGGGGTGGTTTTAGGCTCTTTGAATCACATACTGTACATTGCAGGTCAAATTTAGATACAAGAAAGATAATTGTGATTAGCATATTGTAGACAGGATAAGCTGATTTAAAAAGTAGGCTAAGTTGGGTTTTATGATGATAGATATAATCCATGAAGAGAACCTTAGGCTTCCACGTCACATCCTCTCTCTTTTTTTTTTTACTACATAAAGGGAACCAAGGGCTTTCATTTTAAAGTTAGATTAATTACCCCCTGTCATGAGTAACCCAGGTTTCTTTCAGACAAAACTGATGAAGATTAAGCAGCGTTTAAGTCTGAAAAAAACAACAAGGGGTAATTCACTAAAAAGAGGAAGTGATTTTTTTTCTGATCTCATCCTACTCATGCTCCTGTGCACAGAAAGCTTTCAACCCATTTTCCTCACTGAGGAGTTATCAGTTAGCAGAAGGAGATTCAAGAATACTATTCCCAATTGCTAGCAGTAGTTAGGAAGCAACAATCTTGATTAAAATCACTAGAAGGAGTGAGGTCAAAGGTTCTCCTGTCCCCAGAGGTCTCTGAAGATAACAAATTTGCATTTGTACAGTATTTATGTGTCCAAGCAAGGGGAGGAGGAGGTCTGGCCCTGGCCCCACCCTCTGCCTTCCTGCCTTTTGCACAAGAAAAATGACCTGCCTCCAGTTTTTACTGCCATGTCTGAAATGGACCACCTGCATCATCATCTCGAGCAGCAGCCACAATAAAGAGGCCACAGCAACTCAAAAAGGAACACGTCATATTATTAAGCTTCCAAAGACAAGAATCAATTAATCAGATGCAGGGGTGCTTTGAATAAGTTGAAGATGATGTACAGGTAGTCCTCAGTTAAACAAGGATAATTGGGACTGGAATTTCCATTGCTAAGCAATGTGACTGTAAAGTGTGATATCTCATGACTGCATTGCTTAGTGACGGCAGTCTCTGTTGCCGTCATTAAGTGGATTGTCAAGCGAGTCCCCAGCCAGCTAGGAAACAGGTCAGCAGGTAGGCAAGGCGCGGCACAAGGCAAAGTGAGAGTGTGATGAGACCAGCCGTGGTTGCTTGTGGGTGGGGAAGGATGTGTGAGTGGTTCATGAGGTATGACACAAGCATGACGACACTGGCTGCTACCAGGTGGCCCACAAGGCGTGGCACAATGGGGCCCAGTGTGGCTGCTGCAGAGGAGGGTGCAAGCAGTGTACCAGAGAGACTTGTAACCTTTCCTGCTAGCTTTCCCATTGACTTTGCTTGTGGGAAACTGGAGGGAAAAGTTGCAAATGGCCATCAGGTGGCCATGGGAAGCTGCAGCTATCGTTAAGTGCTAAAGGTAAAGGTTCCCCTCGCACATATGTGCTAGTCGTTCCTGATTCTAGGGGGCGTTGCTCATCCCAATTTAAAAGAAAAAGAGC